TACATCAATAACCTCTTTACTGAAAAGAGGTGAGTTAGTGAACTGTGATGGAAAGTTAAACTTTGAAATTTTGAAAAATCTAGAATTTTTCAGGTGCATTGGTATAGGACTGCCAAAGACCCAGAGAAAGTTGTACTAACAGCCACACTGTATGAGAAAGACTTGATTTGATAGAATAGAAACAGCAAAAAGAGGCTATCACTTGTGCTGTTTAACTGTTTGAGGGCTCTCAAATAGGCAATTCATATTGGAAATAAGAAAGATAAATATTTATATGTAAAAAAAAAAAAAAGTACTTTTCTCTGGCTTAAAAACTACAGGCATTTTACTGGTTTTCTGTTTCTTTTTCTTTAGAGTCATAGTCAACTGAGTTCTTAACTTAGATAAAAACTTAATATTAAGTTCTGAAAACCTCCAATCTTTCTAGGTTGTGAGTGAAGAAACCCCTCTTGATCTCTCTTGAAGAATTTATCTAAAGAATTTATCTAAAGTAGCAAGGTGTCTTATTCAGCTGACTTCATAAGGCAACATACTTAGATTCTTAAATGTTAAAAATTTTCATAGTACTTTTTGAGTTCAGTAAATCTGTGGCATATTATGTCAGATGATGAGCTCCCCATGCTCTCAGGTGGATGTATTAAGTTAAATCCCAGTGTGGTTTAAATAACTAATCTTAATCTGGATTTAAGTGAGTATATAAGGACTTCTAAATTAGCAGATGGGTGAGAAACTTCAATAAATCCTTCTAAAGTTTGTTTTAAACATTTCTTTTTGTGTGTACAATGATTGCTCTACTTACAGAGGGACAGTGGTCTCAGAGGTATTAAGTTTATTTAAGCTTTATAAAAGACCTCTCTTTTTCTGTTTGTTTGTTAATCTCCTGCAAAAACAGAGAATTAAGTGGAAAATCATATATAAAAGCAACAGATTCTAGGGGGCGGGGGAATATGAAAACTGCAGATCCCAGAAAAGTGGCAGATGCACCTTTTTGGGCACAGGAGAACCATCTCTGAATGTTTGCTGCATGCTTTTGCCTCAGCTTTGAAATAAATCTCCAACTACCTTATCTGATATTGTCTCATGGTTAAATTGGTTTTAGGCTATTAACATCATTAGCATTCTTTCTTTGTTTGCTGGTATGTACCTAAACATTGTCTAAAACCAAAACATAATCATATATATTAAAGATTTTAAATAGGTTACTATTTGAGACTGTAATACAGCACTCTGTTCTCTTCCTACCCATATCCTTCCTTCAAGTTTACGCTCACACAAGTTCTGTTGAGTTTCTTAGGCTTTGTTAAAACTCCACTCAAGAAAATGATCACCTTTTTGTTTTACTTTGTCATCTGACTTTCTGCAGTACTTTTGTACTTTTTTAGGATCAGAAGAAAATAAAACTTAAAGGGCACTTTCTTTTTGTTACAAAGGCTGCCTTCTTCGTACTTCTGATTTTTGATGAAGTTTACAAGTCTACTACAATCTTCTGTAAAGTCTAAGTTTGAAAAGACAAGAACTTTTTCATGTAGAATAATTCAAAAATTAAAATATACTGCTACAATGCTGCTTCCATATAATCAATTAGCAAAGCATGGGACCATATGTTTCTTTTCTTCTACCAGTACAGCTCATCATTCAAATATTTATCAGTGATTATTTTCTTAATCTTTAGTAACTTTTACCAAGTCTAAAATTGAGAACAAGTGTAGCCTGGTCATGTCACTTTGAATATAGTCATCATCCGTCAATGAACTAGTTAAAAATATTCAATAGATTAAAATCCCTCATTTGTTTTTGTGATCTCAAGCAATAGGATTTTTTTAGTTTAATCTATTTAGCAGCACTCAAGCAGTTAAGGGCAGTAACTCTGCAAATGAGGATAGAAGAAATATAATCTATTTAACTAGGGAGAAGTCTAGTGAAACAATCTCCATGTATGCTCTTATTATTTTCATGATCCTTTTCCTTTTTTCTTCAGTGCTACATACAAATATTTCATTTGGCAGTCAACTTACATATGTAGTCAGAACCATTTTAAAATATTAAGTGACAGTTGATTGAAAAGTCATGCCAGCATTTTTTGAGATGCTGGCAATTACTAAACCAGAAGCTTCCTTAGTTCACTTGAAATGCACAGTAATCTATTTTTAACTTTTAGTGTTTAAAAATCTAACAAAAATGTGTTGTGGCTGTGTCAGATCCCTGATGATGAAAAAAGAAAAAAAGGATTACATTTGTCATGGTATTTTTAGATTCACTGCTTGCCCATGTTATTTATCCCCTGAAATGTCTTACAGCTGAGTTTGGGGTGGCTCAAATTATATGTCTAAGGAGAAAATACTGTATTTACTGTTTGCCATGTGAATGGGTTCTGTGAGTGGTTCTGCAGAAAAAGGATCTGGGGGTCCTGGTGGACAGAAACTTGAATGTAAGTCATCAGGGTGCTCTTCAGGTGGTTACGGTTAACTGCATACTGTTTATATCTATCGTGAAGACCATAGCTAGCAGGTGTAGAACTATTCTCCTCTACTCGGCACTTGTGAGGCACTGTCTGCAGTCCTATGTCTGGCTTTAAGGCCCCCGGTAGTAAAGAGATCTAGACTGAGGCACTGAGATGGCTATGGATCTGGAGCCCTGATGTATGTGGGAAGGAAGCTAAGGAGCTATTCAGGCTAGAGGAAAAAAAAAAAACCTAAGAGAGGATCTAACTGCTGTCTTCAAGTATCTAAAGAGGATCTGTGGAAAAGATGGAGCCAATGTAAAGTGAGATGTACAGTGAAAGGACAAAAGGTAGTGGCCCTAACTATCAGCAGGGGAAATTATGATTCGGTATACGGAAAACATTTTTGATTGAGTGGTGAAACCCAAGAGCCAGGTTGCCCAGAAAAACTCCAACCTCAGGCATATTAAAACCTCACCTAAATAAGACCCTGACCAGGACTTCGAAGTTAGATCTAATAGAACAGGAGGTTGAACCTAATGACATCGATACATTGATTACTTTCCAAAAGTGGCCTGACTGTGTGTACCCATTTGGTCTATCATTGGAAGACCAATTTTAAGTCTTCCTTGAAGGGCCACACTGTTATCCACCATAGGCACTGACCTCAAAATTGGTTACCATGTGTGTACAGAGCTGGATAACCTAGTAGAAGTCTGAAGCCTCTTCTAGGTCCAGTCAGATCACGTGCTCTGTAAGTATACACATTAGGGCTAAATTAAATTAATGTTTACATTACACAATTCAGTGGTACTTGCCATATATACCTTGATCCTTTCCTTTGAAAAACTATTCATTGTTAGATGATTTACTTCTCTCTGCAAATTAATTACTCAGTCTTTTGCTGTCTTTTCTGTTCTAGAGAAGAACGAAAGAAGATACTTGGAAATCAGAAGAACTTAGGAAACATCTTAGGGTGACTTTATTTTATTTCTACTAGTTTTGATGTTAAGTTACCTTACAGCAGTGGAATTTATTGACAGTCTAAACATAGCGGGTTGAGTGCTGATTTTACTAGCCACTCTGCCTTGTGGGATCTGTAATAGGTCTTTAAGGCTTTTTGGTACACCAGACACTTTAAATCTGCATCACTGAACACCAGCAATACAGATCTTTAACGTGTAGCTGCTAACTTCCTTGCCAGAACTGACTGTTCTGGAATCTGTCGAGTCCAAATGTGTCCAGAGGCTGGCCCACTCAACTGTTTCTAGCTACAGCAGTCATATAAGATTACTCTACAGATTTCTTGATTAGGTAAATGGAAGAAATAACATTGTTATGGTAATTACACAACACACAATGGAGTCTGATTTGCTGACCGCCCAAATCCAAGTTACAGCTCTGCTTTATATATACTTACTCGCTTTCCTACATTTATATTATGTATTGTATTTGTTATCATCATCTATCATGTTTGTCAGGTGCTTTTAAACTGCTTAATTACTTTATCTGCTGGTCAAATAGGCATTCAGGCTACAGTCAGTTACACCATTGATATTCATATTAGTTTTATGCTATGTTTTTTAAAAGCTGTTTTCCAATATGTATCTTCTTTTCTATGTCTTGTGTAGATCTTCATTAGTCCTTTGATAAACTAAAGCATCCTACTTGTTATCTATTGCCTAGCTTTCTATCAATTACATTTCAAAGCTCCCCATTATTTCAGTGCCAGTGCTACAGTATAAGTACTTTGTATTTTTTAGACATTCAGTAACATTTCCGCTGCTTCCATGTGGGCTAAAGCAAACAATTTTGAGTTGAAATGCTTTAGTTCCAACAGAAGTGGTGTGGATGGACTTTCATTTCTATGAAACAGATGGTTAAAGTTTAATTCACTTTACTCATTGACTGTAATCAAAGCAAGTTCTGTTTGTTCTGCATTGAGTAAACAGCTGAAATCGTGGATGTAGTGAAATCAGTGGGAGTTGTGCTACTTGCTTCAGGTATATATAAATCTCTTATGACTTTAGAAAAATATAAGAATAGTTGCATCCTCAAGGGATCTAGGCCAAAAACTTTCTTTCACAGTTTTTATATGCTGCTTTCTGTTCAAGTAAAAGCTAATCTTCAATTCTAAAGGCTGCAGGATGCCCAGTTATCTGTCATTATTGTTTATATCTGTAACATATTTTACAGGATAGCACAGTTTCTGTCTTCATGAGCTAACAACTTCAAGGTGCTTAGTTAATTTTTCAACCCAGCTCTAAACAAAATGCATGGTTCCACAGTAAATTTTCTTTTTTTACCAAATTCTTTTCAAATACATTGAAAATGCAGCTTATTATTTATTTCATTTAATCATTCTTTTTACAACAAGTACAAACATAATGTTAGTAATTTTGCAAAGTAAGCCTGGAAATAGATCAGCATTTTAATACAGTTTGGGAAATTAAATTAAATTTTAGCAATCCACTGCTTTTTTTTTTTTCTCATGAATATACTATATCAAAATAGATTGCTGAATTATGATAATAGATTTTTAAACTTTTTTTTATTCCAGGCATCACAACCAGATAGTCAAAATGAAGACCAAAAGCATAGAGAAAAGAAACTGCAGAAAGAGAAGTCTGTTCATGACACAGATATTCTTAAACATGAACATAAAGACAGAGGGAAGAGCAAGGAAAGAACGAGAGCGAGAGAGAGATTTAAATCTGGTGAAAGAGACAGGGATAAAATGAGAGAGAGAGAAAGGGGGAAAGAGCACCAGAGAGGAGGAGACCGAGAGAGATACAAAGATAAGCTTCAAGAGTCAAGTTTGAAGAAGGAAAGATACAGTGTACCAAAGGATAAAGACAGGGAGGGCGATAGAGAACGAGACAAAAAGCATAAAAGACATGAGATAAAGCAAGTAGATACACAAAATAATCTGAAATCATTTGAAGGGAGAGATAAAGAACATCACAGAAGAAGAGAAAGCAGGCATCATTTGGGTAAGTTGCTTTGGGTTGCTGTTGTACTTTGAAATACTTGATATTTAGATGGAAATACTCTGAAACCATACCCCATCTGTACAGAGGGGATAAAGACAGGCAGGTGTGAGTACGTACTGAAATGTGTATCTTTACAGAATCTTGTGGTAACCTAGTTTTATTTTGTTGCTTTTAAAAATTTTGATGCTCGTTTCCCTTCCTCCGAAGAGAGGGTGAATGTCACTGCTTTTGTTGGTCAGTTGGTCTGTTGACTTGAAGAGAGTAAGTGCCTTCCTGCCTAGACATTCTCTACTGAGTGATCCACTTGAATCCCCAAGTTGCAGGGTTATTGCTGAAGTTAGCAGCATGTGTCATTACTCTTACCATTACACATTTAAGAACAGAGGGATTCATTAGGAAAGAAAAAGGAGTAACCAGCTTTGGAGAGAGAATTTCAACAGAATATTAAGTTGTTTTTAGGAAGCTCTTATGTTTTAGAAAAACCCATGTCACTGAAATACTATTTTCTACTTGCTAGAGTTAATTATGTACAGAGTTTGAGTATAATAAAATTTGTTCATTAATTTATACATTTTCTAGAGGAGGAGAAAACAAGAAGTGAAGAGCGAGAAAGACGACATACAGAAAAGAAGGTAAAGGAAGGGAAAGGAATGAAGTATTTCATAATGGAATAAGATAAAATTGTAGAATAATGAAGAAACTGGATCAGACTCCAGTTCCCAAGAAGTCCAAGAGATGCATAGATAGTAAGGTCCTCAGAAGTGTACAAAACACACAACATAAAAATATATCTAAGCCATTCTATTTTAAGGACATAATTAATTCATTTTTTAAAGTAAAATTAAATTAAAATTTGCGTAGGAAATAGTACTTTATTTTTGTACAGCTATATCAAAATTTTCCATCTGCTATTTATGGCTTATTACAAGGATATTGGTAAGTATACATCCTATTTTATGTTAGATCACCTAGTAAACAAAGAATTAATTTTTTGTGTGAAGAATACATAATCCGAAGAATTTTCTGTGGCAAAGTACACAATGTCCCAGAAGAAATATCAGAATCTCAAGTGATATGATAATTTGAAACTTGCCATTGTAGGAGATTAAAAAATGGCTGGAAGATCCACATGGCAGAAAGAGATTAGGTACTTACAAATCCATCATTCTAATGGTCAAAAATGGATGTATTTGTGAAAATAAAACAGTCTTGGAGGACTTTCTAACTTTTTTATGTTATTTTTCTCTTTCCAGGATAATGATACCAAAAAGAGCATTGACAAATTTTTAGCCTACAAAGTTGAAGAAGGTGAACATGTACACAAGTTGCAGAAAGATCAAGAGTTGGATAAAGAGGGAGAAAGAAGACACAGAGAAAAAAAAGAATACTCTGTTAGGCCAGGAAAAGAGAGGCTTTCAAAAGAGAGAAGTCATAAACGTTATGAAAAGGAAGAGGAAGAAAAACATAAATCAAAGAGATCTAAAGAGGGATCTTCCCATGAAGATAGAAAAGGGCAACCAGCAGAAGCTAATGAGAGAGTAAAAAGTAGAGAAGATGAAAGAAAGAAGCGTGATCTAAAGGTTAGTTTTGTTAAGACTTTAAAACATTACCTTATAACTTACTTTAATTGTTGGTGTATCATCATTGATAAGGTGAATAAAAAAAATACTAGGATTGTACGTCAACATTTTCTGAAATTTGAGGCTAAAGTGGTAGATTAAAATACTCCATCTGCATTTAAGTATCCTAACGCAGAGCTGATTCCGTCCATAAAATTTAAACTAGAAACTTGTCTATGTGTTAGAAACGTCTTTTGTTCATAAAATTCTTCGTTGCTCTGACTTTTGAAATTTTTACTAACACTTTGAAGGGGAGATGAGATTAGGCTAGAGGTCCATTAAATGTATTGGCCTTTATAGAAAAAAATAGATTTTAATAGAAGCTATTTTTGATGTTGCCTATAAAGGGAGCATGGATATCTAACTCACAAGTAGGCACGTGAGTATAGATCCCTTATATTTATGGTTTTTGCCTCTACTTCTGAAGCCATAGTATATCTTTTATATTTCTAATACAGAGCATGATGTTATATCCTAGAGACATTTTTTACTGTTTTTTATAATACAAGTACTCATTATACAAGAATGAGAGAAGCAATAAGTAATTTGTAACTCTTAAAATCAGACAAGTTTTATGGAACATAGAACCATTCAGATGGCCTAGGGTAGTTTCTTCTGCTGCCTAAAGAGTGAAGATGTATAAGCTTCTCAAAGAAAAGTTCAGAAATATATTTTCTAGTGAAAATACTAGGCATCTTCAGTGTAGGGGCCCACCACAAATGATTCCTGTAACTGACTTTCTGCAGCAGAATTCAAAAGCCTATCAGGAGCTTGCTCAATGTTTGACTTCCTTGGAAATTTACTTAAGTAGCTGTTACAGAATATACGCACTGATGCCGATGCATCTGTCTCAGTTATGTTTCTTTTTCTGATGTTCATAAGAAAAGCACCTTTATCTTAAACAACCTATTGAATACAGTTCCAAACTTAGGCAAACCTTCATAATACAGAATTTAAGAGTCAAGTCCCTATACTGGGGATTAAAAGTGCCTGAGGATATTCTCTGTCCCTGGTTCCAACTGGTGTGAATTGTTGCAGTCCATACTGTTAAAATCTCATTCTTTGAAACAGGCTGGCCGCAGCTGACTGAGGTCAGCCCTTAGTCCCTATCAGTTTTTCAGCCACGCTTACGGGTTATTTAGGAAAGTGCTGTGGGCTCACAATTTAAGCAGTATACACTGGGCCCAGAGCATTTTTTAACCATTGTTACTAATATACTAGTGTGAAGTTATCCTATAAAAAGCTGGAATTTACTCTGGTAAAGCATTATAAGGTTTTGTTAAAAAAAGGAGAAGACTCAAGATCCCTTCTTGTTTCCTTTGTGAAATGCATTGCAGAAGGGGATGTAGCCAAACTTCACTCCCAAGTACTTAGTATTTTTGGGAGAAGCTCATATTACATGTATAGCATATATTTTATGGGTATTTATTTTCTTTGCTTACCATGTCTGTAAGGAGGAGATTATTCTGACATTAGTTCATACACAGAACTTCTTACAAGCAATGACTGATAAAAAAAAAAGTATCTGTCATTGAAATAATTCTCTAGAAACCTTTCTTACTGTTTAATATCACTACTACTAATACAGGTTCATATACATATTTCCTCCCAGCATTTCTGACACATGAATATTGTGACTTCTTTTACAGAACAGTGAACACAAAAAAGAGGAGAGGATTCAAGAAGAAATGAGCCATCAGCATGTAAGGTAAATTCAGAGATTTAAAATAAGTATATACTCTATGGTATCTACTAAGATTCAGTCATCACCAAAACAATAAGCATGAATTCTTGATCTCAAATACCTAGGGTGAATATAATTTTTTTCATAGGCCCTTTGTACAATACTATAGCAAATAAAAAAAAAAAAAAAAAAAAAAATCTGTGTTTTGCCTCTAAGAGGATTCATATAAAAATGTATGCATTTGTATTCCATTTTTTTTTTTTCCTACCCCAGGATAGCAAGAGATATTTTGCAAACTACATATATATTAATCTGGGCACTTCGTTTGGGAGACAGAAATGCTGTCTTGTACCACCTGGAAATTCACTATGCAATGACATGGACACATGTAAGGTTCATGATGAACTACATAGGACTCTTTTATATTGTTGATTTTAATTTGAATATTTCCATTTAGTTTCTACTCTGAATGGTGTCTAAAACATTAGATATATATAGCAAGTTTACTGCTGTATGTGAAAGGGAAAGGTCCAGGTCATCTTCAGTAGGATCAGTAAAATTTCAGTGTGATATGTCTAAGTTTTATTACTAGCAAATATAAAAACTTACAGAAGTTCTCCATATATTCTAGTTCTCTTTGCATTCTTTAATGCTTCAGCCATGTGAAATTCTTATACAACTTTTTGAAGTATAACTCTCTGGGTATGTTGACAGTCACAATTTTCATTCTTAAACCCTAGTTTAGCTTCCTAGCTAAATAGAAGACTTGGCATGCTGGCTTATGGGGACACTGACAGAGATAGTGAAGTCACTACTGCTATTGGCTACGTATTACTACTGTTTCTTAAGCATGGGACAGATCACTTTAGTTGTAGTGAATTTGTCATTGTGGAAGTGTAATCCTGTACGAAAGAAAAAACTGAAATATTTCAGAATGCATATGTTGGGATGCTTCCTAGCAGCAGCACTCAACTGTGTCAAGCAGTGCCGAATATACAGGTTATATTTTGAAGCTGTTGCTGATGGGGTTTTGTGGGAGAGTCATTGCTTGTGCATAGCTGGGAAAAAGGAGTTAGCCATTTCTGAATGGCAAGGAAGGCAATATGGTTTATTGGCATGTCCCAAAACCCTCGTTCAGCCTCAAGCGCTGTCAGTGTTGAATCATTCTGATTTGTTATGAGAGGATCCAGCCAAATTTTTATTTTTATTGTTGCCTTTTCTTACATTCGTCAGTCCCAACAGCAGTATATATAAACACCTCTTACTCAAGAAGTCAGAACATTCTCTTCTTGAAGTCCAATACTCTACTTATAAAATAATCAAATAGATTGTTAAGGAGCAGAGCTGGTTGTTGATTTTCTCCTGCTCTGACTCTGATTGTCCTCATAAATAAAAACCCCTGAATGAAAGACCAGGTTTGAATCTCAGTCTATGATTTATAGCTTTAGAGAACATTACACCAACCTGATCTTGATCTCCAGTTTGCTGCAGATATTAATATAACTAATAGATGTGTGGGCTTAGTAGTTTTTTTCCTCCTTACTTTTTCTTCCATTTTGATGCAATTATAGGCATTAAATTTGGACAAGGTTTCTGCAGGTTTTAGCTGATTAATCACTTGGCTGTTTTATTATAATTTCGTATCATAAATAGAGATCTATGAAATATTTCTACAAATACTTTTAGTTTATTGGAAATTTTCAACTGTCTCTTCTTTTTAGGAAAAAAGACATATTTTTTTTAAAACAAACAAAAAAACCCCCAGAAAACAAAACCGAAACAGAACTAGTGCTTTCTTCTGAGTTAACCAATAAAATTGATGTTCTCTTTTTCAATAGGACTGTAAAAGATAAAGGAAAACTCAATGAAAAAGAGGAAAGGGACACAAGACAAGAGGTAAAAATATTTGGTTTTGGAACTTAGAATATTGTGTTTTTCTTGGGATTAATAACAATTACAATATGTATTTCAATATAATGCCATTCTAAGATAAGAAAAGATTTATGTATATTGGTCTTCAGGTATCTCCTAACCTCTTTTTCTGGATACAGCATTAGAAAATAGATTGATTCTGTATAAATTTGCTAAGCATTGAAGGTAGCCATCTATTTCAGTATCTTCTGTGCTTGAAAAAATAATTCTCAATAAGTGGGAAGAGTTGAGCCATGTAATACAAATCATCTACAGATACCTAAAGTATATTATTTCTTTCTATAAACAGCTGACATAGGCAAATAATATGTAGTGTAAGCCAAGTAAAATGCAGCTAGCAATGTAATTCATATATGTCTCTTAAAACAGTTGACATAAGAAAGAGGAAAGTATTTTTATATGTTTAAATGGACAGGTGCAGAGAGAACCAAGTTTTCAGCAAGTCTGAAGTGCAAGCTCTATAGACTTGGGTTTATTTGGACCAGTCTGTGCAGATACAGCCTAACTTTACCATAAAAAGTTTTAAAATATTTTGTCACATTTTCAACCGTTAGTAACTATCCCCCAAAATCAAAATTCTGATTTGGAATGTTGTAGGATTGTGGTCCTGATATAGGAAAAAGTAGTAGTACCTAACAAAGACATCTTTTTCCATATTCTTGTGTTATGGGCAGCTGTATATCTTTCATATATCTTTCAGCCATGCATCTTTCAAAACCATACTAACTTCAGTTAAAACCTGGCTGTTTTCGTGCCAGAAAAACTTCTCTTTCAAGGATGTTTTAAGACCTCTGTTATTCTTTTCTTCTAATTTCCAATACGTTTCCATTATTCTTGCTTTAGTGCTGGCATTTAGCTCAAATACTTTTTTAGGGTTTTCTTCCCCTAATGAGCTTATAGAAAGCATATTTGTCTCTTCTCTGACTTAATTTTGCTGACCTATACAAGCCAAGTTCTTCATTCCTCTCATGATTCTAGCAGCTGTCTGTCTGTTTCAATTTGCATCAATTTTTCTTGAGTATGGGTGACCAGAGTTGAACACAGTACTGAATGTGAATTTTCATCACTGCCTTGTGTAATACTGTACATGACATAAATACTTACCTGTTCCTGAAAGAAGTAGCTTTCTGACATATTCTTAGATTTAGTCTGCACTTTAGCTCTTACCACTGTGGCCAACAGTCATCCTGGATCAACTAGTATGTTCAAACTGTTCTCTTCCTCTATTGTTTCCAACAGCTGAGGTTCCAGGTGGCAGCTGGCATTGATGCTAATCTTTAAGGCCCAGATTCAGTTCACCTTTAGGTGTGAATTGTCTGTGGTGAGGACCTAAATTTCCCTCAATTTCCTTTGTAGTTTGTGGAGAGGAATAGGCAGTTCAGTCCTTTTATATTTGGTCTCCTTTTCCATTATATTTTCTGTGTTCATCGGCAATAGGAGGCAACCTATGAGGGTGAGATTCCTACTTAAGACCTGACTCAACAGGGCTAATTAAATCAAATTCCATGGGTTTGCACTTTATGCAAATATTTCTTCATATATTTGTTACTCCAAATGCCACATTCCAGCATGACTTCCTAATCCTGCTTTGTATGGTTCTTATGAGGACAGTAAGATTTTGAGAGGACGGTAAGATTTTGACAGCTACTGACAGGTGGAGGTTTTTAGTGTGTAAAAACTGCATGTGTAACAGATGCAATGTTATAAACATCTATCTGTAATTAATAAAAATGACAGTTCTATAGGCATATTCAGAGATTATTGTAGTGGGGTAATAAAGACTATAGCCATCTTCATGGGTGTATTACTACGTGTGTCTTTGACTAAACAGAATAAGGATTTTTTAAAAATTCTATATGAATTCACTACTGTTGGGTACCTGCAACCTTGCAGGCACAACAAATTGGGGAAATTTTGCCCAGTTTTGGCCAGTTTTGCCTGGATGGCCAACCTGACTAATAGAATTTATTCTTGATCCAAAGATTGATCTGAGAAATGACAAAAAGCGGCAACCAGAAAGAACGAAGTACTGTAGTCCTAGTTCTAGGAGTCTGATGACTCTGAAAAGTAAGGTATCCATAGAAGCTGTTTACTGCTACATAATGTCCTTAATACTTTTGAAAGTACTATGTTCTGTGAAACTCTAGCTCTTGAAGAGTCGTGAAAGGATCAAAAGTGTGCCTAACTTTGCGTTTGACAACCAGCTGCTATTTTTTGGTTGTAAATGTAGAAGCAGGTAATAGGTGTGCTGTTACATTGGATAATTTTCATAAAACCTGACATTTATTTCCATTTTGAAATCTGTTGAAATCCCTTACACATGGATAATTTAGTCTATGAGTTTGAAGAGGCTATTGAAGGAAAAGGCTGACTAAAGATTGGATAGATCGGTGTGTGTTGTTTTAAGCTTTATGTTTGTTTGGGGTACATGTTGGGGTGATTAAATGCATTATTTTAATCAAGTTCAAGAAGCTAGAGAAAGGCAATTTCTTTGAAGTTATTTCAGGGATGCCATAAATCTTATGCCATGTAAATACAGTAGAGGATTCAATGTTAAGAAAATCATTTATGTATAAAAATATCTTATTTTCCTGTTGAGTCTATGTCTCTGTTTTCCTGGTTCCAACATCTGCACTATTTTATTAACAGATTGAGTCCCTCAGTGTAACTTAGGTATAGGGATAATTTTGTCTAATCCTTGAAAAAGTAGAACAGTTTCATTTTGTTGTTACATCATCATAAGAGCTACTGTATACTATTGAAATTATAGGCAACCCAGCAGTTTTTATGTCTTTCCCAGTAAAAATACTGGTGGGAAAACAGTTAGTTTTCCCAAGATAGAGTTGTGTTCTGTTTTGTCTTCCTGTGTTATTATTTCAATTAAGTCATTATCACTTGTTAATACACTTTTTTGTGTTTCTAAACTGAATTTGTCATATGTTTGCTTGAAAATGTAGAAATATCTGGGAAGAACAACAATTCATCTATCTTTATGCTAAGATTTGGCAGATAAAAATTTAATTTTTTGGTAGGATTATTTAACAGTTTCATTTATTTTTCTCATTTAGGAAATGAAAGATACATGCATCTACAATTCAGACATGGAATTTGATAACTTTTCAGCAAATTATGAAGATGATTTTGAAGTAAGTAAAAAGCATACAATTGTCCTTTTGAAGTAATTCTCAAGTATCAAAATAGTGATTAACTTTATTCACAGGAATAAAAATTACAGGATGTTACATTGTTTTTACTTACTCTTTTTTGGTGACAGTGACCTTAACTTGGCTAACAGTAGATAATAAGTAACTAAAATGTTATGTAGAAACTCTTTGCTATATATTTACTTAGTTTTCATCAGTGGTTGGGAACCAACTTTTGGTTTTGAGTTGAAGTCTTCACAAGATGCTCTTTCTGTCTTCCTGGATTTCAATTATTTAAATGATTTTCTGTGAAAAATGCTGAATTTTTAAAATAATGGGAGCAAATGATGAATTTCAGGAGGAAAAAAAACCCTCGTTTTTCATTAGAAAAATATCGTAGAAAAAAGTATTGACACACAGCAGTCCCTTCACTAATTTGTTTAATTGAACTCTCTTACTTTTAGCTCTCTTTTGTTTACTTTAAAGTTATTAAGACAGAAGAGTGTGTTGAATGTGCTTTCATTGCTAGCTGAACCAGCTACATCTTTGTTCAGCGAAGCTAGAATTCATCTCCACTTACATTAGGAGTGATGTCCACTGTTGGGCTGTTCATGTAGTAGCCCTTTGCCATTCAGTGGAGGGAAATGAAGGTCTTAAAGACTTGTTCATATCATTTGTGTTAGGTGATCATTTTAGCATGAGATGAATTGTCCATGAGCCTTATGCATGCACTTGCAGACAGATAGTGTGGTAGTTTAGTAAATTTGAGCCTGCCATTGAAGGGCAGCTTGAATTAAAACTATCAAATGCTTCATAGATATATAAAGTTGTTTATTTATGCCACTGAACACTGTCATTTTATTTCTCTAAAGAACACATAATTCACCTAAACATATAGTTATTACTTTAGGATATTTTAAAAAAAAAAAAAAAGGAATCTATTTTGGGCACTGAAGAACAACACTGTGGGATTGTTTTCTCTTGATTAAAATTACTGCACAATTAAGACATGCCTTTTTTTTTCTATCAAACAGTTATTTTAAAATGCCTTTCAGTCAGAGGATTTATAGCCATCTGTATGAGAATTTTATTTTTATTTTGACAGCATTTTATAGTTTCTTAAAAGGATGTTGAAAAATACATCTATAATCCATGTTCATTAGTTACTGAAAGTCCTGTTACTTTTAAAGGATTATGAAGATGATTTTGATAGTGATGAAGACAAAAGTGGTGAAGAAAGAGGTGCAGAAGAAAACCTAGGAGAAATTCCGTTTTCCAGAACATCAGAAATTGAAGAAATTCAAAGAGCAATTAGTGCAGAAAATGATAGAATTTGTACTTCACTGCCAAAGAAAATTGAAAATGAAAAAAAGGAACCAATCATGGGTATGTGACTAGACACTGGCCTTTTTTATTAAATGTATGAGTAGCACATACAACTTATGAGTAAACAGGCTGCTTTTTCTGGAAGTCTGGCTAAAGGCAGAAATCTGGTCCTCTGGATGAGTCACTTAGGTTTGTGGGCAAGTACTGTAACTTTCACATTGCTAACGAATGATTCAGAGGCATTAGTAATCATTTAAAATGTGAAATATAAAAATTTACAGACTGACATTTAATATGTCTTATTTTGGGTAAGAGGAGGATATGAGAGTCTGGATTTTGAAAACTGGAGGAGTGCTAGAACAGTTTGGGGCTTCCGGTGACATTAATTCGCCTTTTTCTTTTAAGCAAAGTTGAAACCACTGCTCTGGGTGCGAAGGCGAGAGAAATACAGATACTACTTAAATATATAGTTCTGTATCACTTTTAAAATGCAGGTTTTTTCTGAAATATGACTATGGAATTGTTGTCTTATATTCAGTTGATCTGATGCCTGTGAGTGCCAGATCTACTTATTTAACTAACTACAGCTTTGGTTCCCCTTTGCACTCTGCATTCATGTGAATAGCACTATAGAATCATTGTGCAAAAGAATCTTAAACAGCTTTTTACTCTAGTTTGTACAAAGTTAGTACAGTCACAGAAGAATAGCATGGAGTTTCTGTAAGTCTTTACAGGATCAATAGATTTGCAGTTAAGTAGTCATTGCAAGTCAGAATCAGTATACTGATTTGAATGTAGTATGAATTTCTTCTTGCAGAAGATTTATGCAATTATTATTATTTTTCTAATAAACAATATGGAATCAATAAAAGAATTCCATTAATGCTATAGATCTGCTGAACAGGATGGAATTCTAATACAGAATCAGATTTTTAAATTCTGAATTGTAGCACTTAGTGCTTTATTGAAAATTACACAACACTCTTTTTGATGAAGTTTTGATCTCATTTGGTTAAAATGGTTGTTGATCATTCTGGTAATGATTTTTAGAAGTTTAAAAGCATTTTACAAGTATTATCTAAAAAGGCAGTCTTCCTCTGAGGAAGTGAAACACCATTGGTCCTGACTGGGAGTTGGATATTTTAAGGTCAATTAGCTACCACCTAGCCAGGAAAGGGAATAAAATCAACATGACATCAGATATTGTAGTTGTTCCGTTAACTGTGGCTTTTAAAGCAACAGTTTTCAATGTTTTGCTTATTCATCCAAGGGCATCAGTTAAGCTTGTGTTGATGAGGTTCTCCACTAGCTGTAGTGATTAATTCTTATTTAGAGGTGTAGCATGCACATTCTGCATGAATTTGATATGATTTTTAGAATTGGTCATAGAGTGTTTTACTGTACAGGGGAACAAGGGACCTGCTAACGGCAGGAGAAGGAAAGAGGCACTTAATGGCAGGAGAAAGAGAGAGGCACTTTCTGCATCATAGTCTTCTAAAATAAAAATTACAGTGGTCAGTCATTTTGAATTGATTGGTAAAGGACCATAATAAGGGAAAAATGATGGCCCATTACTGAAGTTAAGAAGCTGATTGTGCTGATGTGCTATTGTGCTAGAACACGTTGTGTAATGTGCGAACTAGTAACTTAGTAGCTGTGTCATAATAAATCTGTTGCTTTTTAGACTTACTGCTTTACATTTTAATGCACTGTAAAGTGTGAATTATAACACTAACAATGCTTTATAATATCACAGAAAGGCAATACCCTTCTATCAGAAACTCTTTTTGTGGAATATTCATGGATTTTCAAATGGCAAACCAACGACAAAGTAGCCGAAGTATGGCTAGTAAGCAGAAGTAAGTATATTTTAAATAATCCATGCAAAATGGCAACTCACTGTGTGAGATGTAGTTTTTTTCATTGTATTTGAAATATGTGAAGTTCATAAACTTGAGGCTTTTAGAATCAAATATTATTTTGTAAGCTAACAGTAATTAGTTCTTAAGTAAATATAATTTACAGGCTTTGCTACATGTCATTTTATAACAGAAAGTTATCTATATATCAGTTTATGTGTATCATTTTATTACAGAATGAGTTGCCAGGATTGTCATTTCTTTGTGTGATTCTTCAGTCACTTATTTAGATATTGACTTAGAGGACTAAAGAGCAAGCCTTTTAGCTGCTCTCAGGGCTCTGCAGAACTGTAATTTCTCTATATGCTACATACTGTGGCCAAAATAGCATGTTCCCTTTCAGGGATAACACCAGTTGGTGTAAAAACGTGTTATTATTGATCTAGATTTGACACATCTAAGACAGCTCTGTATTAAAGAAACAAATTGATGCCTGTTTCTTGTGGAACTTGCCGGGAGCTCCAGATTTATCTGAAGCACTGTATATATTTCCAATTTTCTGTTACGTCAATTGGACGCATAAAGCAAGAATATTAAATTTTATTGATAATACTAGATTCCACTGCTTCGTGGCTGCACATCAGTGGCTAATCTTCATATAAGGGAGATTTTATTGTCTAGGCTGTCTAATTCACCTTGCTTAAATTTATATGCCCAAATTTTACATGAGTTCATTGTCTAGGCTTCCTCTCTAGACAGTGGAGATAGAGTAGCAAATTCAGGAACGCGTCTCTCTGGAGAATTGCCTTCTGAAATGTTTGTCAGTCTCTACTGATTCTATACTATGACTGATTATGACTATGTATATAAGTTTGTGTACATGCTTACAACATATAAAGCCTGTGAAGATAACTAGCATTTTCGTGGAAGGAGAAAGGGTTTGTGGAATTTAATGCTGTGATAATACATTGCTACCAGTAAATAGTCTGAAAGCATCCCATAAATGAGCTGTGGCACGTTGGAGTTATAAGTATTAATATGAGACTTATTAGTTTATTTTAAGGATTTGTCTGCATGTATCATTAAGATTTGTAACTAGGAAGCAACTTTCATGCATTTGAATTAGATCTCAGCAATCTGTGCCACAATGTTTGTGAAGAGGTGGTGTATTAGGAAATAGAATAAAAATTAAAATGTGGATAAGAAAATGCAATAGATGTCATTAAGTAGCAAAAAGGAGATGTGAAAATTGTCCCTATGCATAAAGAAGAATACAGCCTAAAATATTTGAGGAGCAATTCCAGCTCATGTTGCTCTAGTCTTTTCCCTTTTCAAAGACTATCTTACTGAGAAGAAATTGCAACTAGAATATGCATCTAGAGACTGTTTAGGTATGGAATTGCTACAGACCCATAATTGTATCTGGGTTGTATTTATATTAAGTATACTAAAAAAAATCTGAAAATGCAAGAGCGAGAAAGGGGAAAGATGACAAAAATTTTCTCATTGCCAAGAAATCTGTACAATAGCAAGAGCATGGAATTAACTTGTAAACTGATATCTGCATGTAATTCAAGCAGTTAACTCTTAAAATAAAACCTTAACAGTTTTATGACATTAAAGTAGATAGATAGTTGTGTAAATTGTGACAAAGATTAACTGTGTTTTCATTATCCACACATCCATACAAGTGAAGTGGTAGGAATCTCTTTGTGGTTGATGATAACAAGTAACATCACATAAATGTTCTTAGCATCCTGTCAGAGTAAGATACAGTATATGAAGGTAGACTTGTTTTCCAATTAAGAATCAAAATATAGTTTTATTTGGGAACAAAGATGAAAAAAGTAAGAATTGAGGTAGGGAGAAAGTAAAAGGATTGAGGGAAGCTGGATAAGGCAGTTGAGTTATTTTTTTGTCGTTCCAGAAAGGGAATTTGGGAAGGTGTAAAGATTTGGCATTTCGTAGGACAAAGAGATTCAGGTATCTCAAATACAGTCCAATGTGCTAATGCTATTCTAAACAAAAAATACAACTGGAAAAATACATAGTCTACCTCAGTCCTGAGTACTCATTTTCATACAATTTAGATTGAGTGCAATAGTCCAGTAACTGATGTTTTTTCGAGGCCTACTTTTTGGGGAAGAGGTCAGTATTCATGTCCACACGTTAGGAATCAGCAATAAATTCATTTCATATATATATTTAAAATATATTTTAGGACTGCTGCTATTTTTATTTGTTTCCCTGGAAATATAGAGAGGTACAAACTCAGGCAGTCTATTACCAATGGAGGTCATTCAAAGTACATTTGAGTAAGTCTAACAAAACCAGGATATTATAGATGATCTTTATAAAGCATGTACACATATAGGTGATGTAAGATAATCAAATGGTTTAGGAGAATTAGCCACCATCCTAACTATAGGAAGAAAGTGCCATTCATCTGTTACCTCACAGAACAGCTTTTGAATACTTAGGCAAGATGGTGGTGCTAGGCTTTGAAAGTTTGGGTTTGTTTTATAATAAAGCACATAAGTTTGCCACTTGCGACCAGTATTGCATTTTCAAATCTGATAATTATTTCAGTGTAACATTAAATGAGAATTCATAACAGTATTAAATGTACTTCTATTGATATATTTTTATCTATCAATTAGTTTTGGTACAGCTTCAATTCACATAGATAATGGATTGTTAGTTCTCTGATACTGTACAAAATCAGGTTATTTTTCTTCTGGAATACCAAACACTTGGTCTTAACCATTTTTTTGTTTCTCTTTTGCAATTCATTCTAAAGAAAACGCAGTTCAGAACTTCTGCCACTAGTTGATCTGGACTTCTCAGTTAGTTTTTCTTTACTGGATTTGCCTCCTGTAAATGAGTACGACATGTATATCAGGAATTTTGGTAAAATGAACACTAAGCAGGTGCGTAACAAATATGTAGTAATATTTAAATCCTGAAAGGGCTGATTCTTGCTGTGGAAAATAATTTTCCTTCCAAAAGAAAGTTACTAAAGCTAATAGGACAGTAATGTAATAAATTAATATTTTTCATCTCTGAACCTTAACTACTATAAAGCAGTGATATCAAAACTTTTGGGCCATACAGGCCATTCTGTGTTAGAAGAGGACTGTCTTGTGTTCCTTCCCCATATTCTAAAGGACTTTCTGCATATTTGTGGCTCACTGTCCCAGGTATGCAGGGTTTAGAGTTTACGCATAATGTAAGACATTCTGTATTTTTGCAGTAAGTTTAGCACTCTTGTGCGAAATGTGGTGAAATGTGCATGCACAAAATAGTGACACTGTCTGTGTCAGTATGCTTAGGTCTGAATTTACAAACAGAAGACATTGAGCACATTAGTTTTAAAATGAGTGTTTAAGTTCTATCCAGTTATGTGCTGTCATTCTTAGCTGTGTCATCCATATATTGATCACTTTATCTTTCTACTTTAGGCATATGTTCAGTGTAACGAGGACAATCTTGAGAGAGACATTCAGACTGAGGAAGTTGAGACATTGGAGAAATGGACACAGCATCCAGGAGAAAGTGCCCTCGTATCTGGAGGTTAAGAACATCTTAATCTTACTCATTTATGGATGTATGCATGTAAACTTTCTCTTTTGAATCCATTAATTGTCAGAATTTGTAATGTGGCAGGCTGCATCAATAGCAAACTGCTACAGGTGCTCTGAATCCCCTTGTGGAGGGGATGGAGAATAAATGGCAGAAATAGTTTCTTCCTTCTGGATTGCTGTTTCTGTTGGCAGCAGATATGATTCCCCAACAGATCTTGTTCTTCAGTACTGTTATTTCTGCTGAAGAGAAGTTGATTCCTGCCACTCTCCTTTTGCTTAAAAATTACGTTGTTCTTATGGTTTTCTTAATTGATTCCCTTTTGAAGCTTCAGGTTTGGTTTTGGGTTTTGTTTTTTCTTAGGTCCCATAAACAGCCAGGATATGCCAGTGAATGGAACTCTAACACCTAAAATTGATTCACAAAGATTAGCAAATTTCCTCCGGTCTGCTTGCCAGGTACACTTATGTACTTAATATCCCTTACGAGTTGTGTGCATCAGTATACAGTGTGATAGATCATTTACACTACTTGTTCTGACTAATTTAAATAAATTACTTAAATAATACTCATTATCAGTGAGATTCATCTCTCTGCAAAGGAATGGAACCAGAGCTGTGCAACTTTTACTTCTGTAAAGTTGTACTTGCAAAGATACAAAATTAATAAGAGAGTTGATAAAGGTTTATTAAATTAATCCACATACTTTAGAAAGCTACAAATAGCAACACTGAAAGATAAGACGACCCTTTTATTTCTATAAATGTAATTATGTTTGAAAGGTGATTGCTGTTTTGCTAGAGGAAGATCAAGTTGCAACACAACCCAGGTGGAAACTAAGATCTCGACAAACCAGTCTGTCTATTAGTGATAGCTGTTTCCAGTTAAATGCTAACCAGCCATTCCTCCATGGTAAGGGAACTTTATTCTACACCTTTTAGTATACAGTGTGAACTCTTCTTCCTTATGCAAAATGCCATGCTCTTTGTCATGACTGAAGTGTAAACAGCACATATTAGGATATATAGATGATGTAAAGTCCACTTTTTTTTTAATTGTGCTAATCTTGCTCTAACTCTGTGCAGATTGCTTTCATATAGGGAACATCAGAGCATCCTAGCTGCTGTGAAACCAGAAATATAGGATTAGCATGATATAGGGGTGCCCTGGATGTAATTTCTGGCCCCTGTTGTTGAAAGGCCATCCCAAGAGTTGTCATTTCATTTAGGTTCTTTATGCTGACAGAAGAGCCAAAGTTGCAAGTAAAGCAAGGTTACTGAACAGGGAGAATATAGCTTGATATATTTGCACTGCAGTTATATCTTCCACGTATAAACAGTAGATGTCCAGATGAAGAGAAAAATGAAAAATAAAACATCTGTAATTATGTTAAGAAGACCTATTATAACACAAAACCATACATATTCTAACATGAACACGTGACATGAAGCAGAAAAAGCCTGATCTGTGCTGTTTCCTGTTTGAGACAGCTTAATTTTCAGTGTATATACTGGCGTCAGATCAGATTGGCTTGCTTATGCCCAGAACGATTATTCTATTAACTTCTTGGCTCTCTTCCTTTTTGCTTTCTACTTACTTCTAATTTTTTTGATTCCTTCTCTAGTCCCTCCTTTTTTCTTGTATAGCATCAAAAGCCACCCCCTATTAATAGAAATATTCTTCATAATTACATTTTAGCTGCTTTGGTTGTTGCTATAGCAGCTAAATAAGCTTTTTCATCTGCACTGAGTTTACTTTTTTACTTACTTCTTTTCTTTCTTGATTTTTTTTTTTTGATGGTTTAGACCGAAAACTATCCTGCCTATATGTCTCTCAAGTTCAGAGGCAGTTGCTACTTTCTGTTCATGGATTACCTAAAAAGACAGGTGGTATTTTACTGAACAGAAAGAGCATCATATGCGTTTGGAACATCTGGCAGCCCTCCAGTCCTCAGAAAGTTTTAACATGTGACTCAGAGGTATGTTTTAATAACATTGTATATTGCACATTGAATAAATGGCTTTATTATGTGTATTTTGTTTTCTTGTCTTGCTGCAAGATATGTTCTCTTTTGAGATACACGTTTGAGCCTACTGAGCAAAACACTACCCTCATTCCATTTTGTGCTCCAGTACTAGAATGTAGTGATAGTCATAGTGGTTTGGTTTTCTTCTAAATTTTGACTCTATTTCATGGCTGAAGAGTGAATGGAAGTAAAACAGCTGGTTCAGATGTTGTCAGGACTTCTCACTACCCATCACTATCATACAATTGAATCACCCCCTTCAGCTTTGTGCCAGTAGATGCAGATTACACAATTGTCTTGAAAAGGGAAGGCCTACTGAAAGTCTTGTATCCTACTTCCGTTTTAAATAAATTGTCCTTCTGCCGCAAATACCTGTAATCTGTCTTTTCTGGATTTGCATGCCTAGGAAAAACAAACATGTTTCAGGCTTATCAAATCATTGGCCTTTATCCTAATATCAACTATGCGTATTTTTACTGCTTAACAGGTAGTATGTTGCTGCTTTAGTCCCAATAAAACAACATTAGTTTTTGCTGGAACAATAGATGGTTCATTGTTGGTGTGGGATCTTCGAGAAGATTCAAGAATGCACCCTCATATGACGATCAGTGAAACTGACTGGACATTTAGAGTTCCAACATTTTCCACTGGTTAGTATCTATGCATTCTGATTAGTCATTTTGTGGGCAGTGAAACAATTCCACTACTAATTCTGCTAAGAACCCTCTTTCTCAGTGGCCTAGTTTAGCCACTTTAGAGATTATATTTAGTCTAGTAAAAATTGCCAGTCACTAATAGCTGTAAAGAAATGTAAGCCAGCTCAATATGTATCAAGCAGCGAGAATAGAGAGGTGGACCAGATGTAGAAGGAGCATTGTAATATTAAAATGGACTACTCAACTACTTCCTCATCTGAAATCATTAGCTTAGTCAATTTTCATCATTTTATCTCCCTTAATATAACCTACATTAAACACACATATTAAGATGTATTTAAAAAAAAATCTAAGTAATTTAAGACTGTAAACCACAGTTTTTCAAATGTCATTTAAAGGTCGCAATGTGTACAAATTGTCCCCTAAGTCTTGATGTTTCTATAAGGTTGCATGCAAGATACGTATCCAAGCGTATACATGCATAACCTCTGTTAGAATCAGTGCAGTGCCACTCTGTGGGATCTAGAGAGCTATTCCTCTCATTCTAATGTAGATATCTGTATATGGTTAGCTGGATTGATTGTTTTGACTAGATTTAGTTCATTTACAGATATTATACAGCTGTCTTATATGTAGATACCATTTTAAGTGTCTTAATCTTTGGTCTGAATCTCACCCTTATGCATTTCTAAAATTCCGCTTATGTAACTTTATCACTTCTGGATTCTATCTAGATACACTAAAAGTTGAGTCAGGATTGTATATTTTTATTGCCAATTTATCAATTATTGTAGTAATGTAAGATCTAGGAATTTATCATATTTTCATTAGGTATACAACTGTCTTTTTATGATACTATTGGTTCAGCATATATGAATAATTTTGGGGATCACATCATTGGAAACAAGTAGTGTATGAAGACTAAATGTCAGATGAGATCTATATAATGGAGTAGGTTGAATTCTAACTTCCATAGTCAGCAGTCAGTTACTTTTAGTCTTTGTTGAAGGGATTCTGAAGCTGTGACTAAACTTTGGGGCCCAAAAGCACTCTGGTTCGATGTCTCTAGAAAAGTATCAATTGCATGTTGGAGCAAAACCTGGACATACATTTTTCTGTTATCCAGCTTGTCACATGAGCAAAATCTTTCCAGGTTCTTAATGGCAGAAAAGCACAGCTGCAAAAAATAATGTGGAATTAATTTGTTGCATTGTTTAGATATGGCCTAAATTAGTGTTGCATATGTATTGGGAAGCCAGAAGAAAGTTTACTTTTCAAAAGTGCTTATGGGTGACCTCCTTTCATCCTTTGAGATTTTCTTGTTATTGCATTTCTCTTTTTTTTTCTACACTTCTGATCCCTTAGTATATGATCAAAATAACGTAGGCTTTTGTAAATTTTCTTATAATCCATGGACGACAAATTCAAAAAGTACAGAAGTTTATTTAGAGCATATAACTGACATACTAGAAGACGCAATCCAAAGTACTTCACTCTGCACTTGAATTGGTGTATGAGATCCTACAATTTTATGAATCTGATGGAAATGAATGGATCTTTATGCCCATTACCAATGTTTGTCATTTCAATTTTAAATAGAGGAGCAAGTCATTAATCTTATTGAAGTTTTCAATGTATGTAGTTGTATGTAGAGAGATTGGGAATGAGGTGTACATACCAGCAGTTTGACCCTTAATTCGTCTAAATCTTAATTATAAATTGGTGCTATTTTTCTTGGCACTGTATTGAACCCTAGAGTGAAAAATAACACATAGCGATACATCTTAAATAATTTTATTATTGCTAAATAAGTCCTTCTTTATGTATATTTCCTCTTTTTGTGTGTAGGTGCTACCATTTAACTTACACTGAGGTATTATTATTTTTCTAAAAAAAAACCCACCACACATGCACAAAATCCTCTTTTGTTCACAAGTGTATCTAATTGCAGTAGCAATGTTAAAGAAAACATTCATTAGTTGTTGATAGACTTTTAATTTTTCTTAGTAGATCAAAGATGCTTGGTCTTGTGTTGCACAATGGGCTAGTAGTCAAATGTATGTATACAGTTTCATGTAGTTGCTTATATAAGCAAGCATTTTTTAATGCTATATATCTTAGGAAGCTTTATGTCTTTAGTCTTAAATGAGATTAAGTTCAGTGCACAGAGCAAGTCCAGAAAACAAGAGTATCTGACAAAGAATGCATATTGAAATTGCTCTAAATATACATTTATTTTTCAATTACGTTAAAGGGTAAATACGTATTTTCTTGTGGTGAATTATTTGTTTCAGCATAGTTACTTTCTATTAAATAATACTCTGTAAGAGTAATTTTTCTTCAATTTTGTCTTTTCTATAGTATGCAGTGATTTATTTCTACCTCTACTGTTTATGGAGCTTGAAATTAACATAATTCTTTTCCTGATAACCCTGAAATGGCAGATTTTAATGAAATGTCTCGTACAATGGCACAAGTGGTGCAGCAGTCATTTGGAAAAAGAGAAGTAAATACAAATGGTGAAACATTGATTTATCTAGTAGTATTTTGTTAATTTAGGAAACAGTTTGCAGTATTGTATTTGAGACTTTTACAAAGTAATTCTTTATGAAGTTATTATTTGCCATTCTTTCTTTGTAATCATCATTCTCCCATAAGCTGAAAAGCGATTGGGGTTTTGTTGTTGTTTGTGTTTAAAATAGTATAGTGTTTACCTTTCATTATCCTTAATTACAGATGGCATTCTAAATCCAGTAAACCACACCTGTCCTATACTAGCAGTGGAACCTGTCTCAACCTCTCTCTACACTGATCAGAATTATGGGCTCTCAAGCCTCTCTTATCAGGAGGGTATGTAAGCTGCTCTTTAAAGCATCAGTACAGCTGAGTCTTTCTTTAGGTATCTAGTGAAACAAATATATCACAGCCAAAATCCAGTTTATAATTCTATTCTGCCTCTTGTCTATAATATCAATTGCATACAACATTCATGTTTATTTTCTGCTCTCATTTTTATGTAATGTTCATTCAGTGCAGTTTCACATCAGATGTAAGTGTATGCTTGTTATAATGTCTGTTTTCAAGACAATATTTTGTTCTTCCATGATAAAACAAGTTATCACTCAAAAACTGCCTTTGGAGAAGTCTTAGTGCTTCTGCAACGTCTTTAAAGAAATCAGAATGCCTGTAGAGAAGTCTTAGTGCTCCTATGATATCCAAAAAAAAACCTATCTAAAAAAGTGGAGCAACTTGCTTCTATCTGAAAGCACTTTAAATATGTGACTGTACTTGGTGGTTCTTCCTCTGCCTTTTGCCTAACTTTTTTATGACCAACCTTTGCAAAGAAACTTTAATCCTCATGCCCCCAAATTCTCAGGGAGTGTGCTAGAGGAGACATTATTACTTTCATTGCAGATTTTCACTTTGAAATCCATAGTAGTCCAAAAAAATGTGCTGCATATTGCAGGTTTTACAAGATTTCATCTATTGCACTTTTATGTTCTGTTCCAAAGTCCATGTAGAATCCAGACATTTTAAAAGATGCAGACAGAGAACATCTGCCTATCTGGTAGGACAAACTGAACATGCTAGTTTCATGCCTTTTTCTTCTTTGGTAGAATTAGGGCACTTTGCCTTTTTATGCAGCTGAGAGGATCATAAAAGTTTCAGAGAATGTATTAACCTAGGAAGTGTTTCAAATCCTTTGATATTGTTCAGGATGAAGGTCAGTGTATGAATATAAACTGTTACTATTCCTTCTATAGAAATTTCAGGCCCTCTGTTTCAGATAGCTTCAATGGATGAAAATGGAATCCTCAATATGTGGGTGAGTAATATATGTATGAAAAGAGAGAGTATCACATGTCAGAATAATAAAATACTTCTTCAAATATAGCAACCCAAATCCAGGATTTCTGATGAGAATTTCCTCTCCCTGAGAAGTACAGCAACACTAGCCATTCTGTTGGAATTCTCAAAATTTTTGACTCCCTAATGCCATAATGTTATCCTTAGGCAAAACTATTAACAGCTACATGAATTAATGAAAACAGGCTATCAGTAGTTCTGCTTCATAGGAATATGTTCACATATTTCTATTAATTGAATAATAGACCTTGGTCCTCTTTCACCCACCTACTTTATTTTCTTTGAATCACAGTAGTGTCAGAGACTGCACTGAATGTATGTGAGAAATGACATTCATAATTTATATAAAATAAATGTTCTAGAGGCAAAATGTGAAAATCTGTGCATAAGATTACCCTGCCTAAAATATGACAGGCCGGTAAGCACCAGGTCTGTTGCTCTTAATTACTGTTCTGACAACTCTTCTTTCTATCGGATGTTTTCAGTCTTTTTCTGATGCAGCTTTGGCCCAGCTGCTGAGCCTGTTGTTTGCATCTGAATTGATCTTGCTTGAGGAATTGAATGGCTCAGTGAATAATAAGGGGATAAAAGTATTTCCGTTCTGTATCACTAGTCAAGTCCCTTAAAGCTCAAAGTAACTTTAGTAGCCACAGATTCAGGCCAAATGATCTACGCTTTCTATTTCATGAATAGTGAAAAGCACAGGAAATGTGTTACAATTCCTTATTTGGGCGTTTAGGGTATTTTTTTTGTGACCGACCAAACCAACAAGATGCCAGCTAGCGATTAAGTGTAGAATGTAACTTCCCATATTCTGCTTTCCAGCAGGGAACATCCAGCAGGCATGTGAAGCTATTTTTAATATTGCACACATTGACAGGGCATAGGGAATCTACCTGTAATCGTTGTAATGTTAAACCTACCTATCTAAACCTTCCTTTAGAGTTATGTCATATATTATTACAACTAGTTAAAAAACTTTAAAGTCTGGTAAATATTTATTGCTTATTAATGTTAAATATTGAATTTTCAGGTAGTTGTTGAATTACAAAAAGTGGATTTAGCTGGTTCACAAACTGATTTAGGTGAGTACTGTACATTAGAGGTAGAATAAAGTGCTTGAGTTTTGAGATTATGAAGTTAGAAGAGAGAGGAAGAGTCAGTGATGACAAATAATTTAGAAAAAGGCAAAATTACTAAGGAAAAAATTCATTCTCAATAGGACATATATCTGATATTGGGGGTTATTGGTTAGGTATCGTGAGAGTTATTTTCACTGCTATCTGAAATACCACTGCTATCACTGCTATCTCATCTGCTAATTCTGTGTTGGTAATTGCCACCACAGACAACCGCATTTCTTATAATGTCAAAGCAGATTTCTGTGTCCTCAACAGCTTTTTTTCAAAGAATATGAGATTTTATGTCCTTGTCAGTCCTCCTGTTCTTTCTTTAGTGTTAACCAAATCTGTTATAATGCTTTTGTTGTTGCCTATATCTCCATTTTGATAATTGTCCTGAAAGTTCTCTTTTGGGTAAGGTACTTAATTCAGTGTGAGAAAAAAGTTTCCATGAAAAAGGTAAAGAAAAAAGTCCATTCAGCCCTTTTTGTGTTATGTGAACGAAGAAAATTACATTTTTTTGTTCTTTGAACAAATTTAGTCTTACATACTTACCTAACTGGAAAAGGCTGTGATTAAAATCCTGATACATTTTAAAATACATGTATAAACAATGAAGTAATGCTAACAAACTATAATTTTTGATTCATTTTTTAATTTTTGGTCAGTTTTCTAATTTATAAGCTCATGTGCAATGTCTGGCTATATTAAGCTGCTAAAGCCAGGTATTATGTCTGTGGAGAGGGACATTTTAAAGATATGGTTGTGTGTTGGCACAGTTTTACTGCCACCAGCATTCATTTTTTTCCTTTTCAAAAAATTCTTGTGTTTGAAGGATTTGAATTATTTATGTTAATCTCTACTAACAAGTAACATAGATCAACTTTATGGAAGCATTGTTATAGTCTCTCATTACTATAATTCATTGTCAAAGATCCAAGTGACATAAACGTGCATTTTCACCATTGATAGAATTGGGTTTTATAGAATGATATTACAGGATGTTATATAACAACATAGTTGTTGTTATATATACATATATATATAGCATACTGTAAAACTAAAACAAACGTAATCATGTTTCCCTTTGTCCTCTGTCTTTGATTTCTGTCAAAGATTACAACTCTTCAGATTTGAATTCTGAAGTAAATAGTTCTAAATGATGTAAGATTCTTGCATATCAAAAGCTATATCTACAATAAACAATCTAATTATGAAGTGTCCTTTTATTTATTAGCTTAGGTTTTAATTTGATGATAGCACTTTCTTAATGCAAAGTGCTTAAATCAGTTTAAATAATTATTTTATATAATTTTAGGTTTAATTCCTGGAGGGAAAGTGAAGTTAGTACATAGCTCTACTATGGAATTGAATAACAGGTAAGAAAACAGGGGCATTTAAATTTTACATGTGTATCTCACAAAGCTAATTTTTCCTTTAATTTATTAATTTGCTGTTATGTAAGATATATTTAACAGTATTTTCATTAGTTATTTGTTTTTTTTTTTTAATATACTCTTCTTCCTAGAGCTAGTCATCGACATTTTAGATCAAGAGTTTCTGTATATACTTGCATAGCTTTAGGAGACAACTTCCTGTATTTATGTCATCTTTTACCTTTATGTTTTTCCTAGCCTTTTCCCAAAGGATGTGCGCCAGAGAATGCCCCAGACACTGACTATTAGATTTCTGTCTTCTAATCCTAATCATTTCATTGTTGGAACAAACATTGTGAGTAATGTGCTGAAATTCATCTCATTGTTATTTTTTGTTTTGGAAGCTGCCCCATTTACTTGGAATTTTACCAGTAGACTGTATGTAAAATTTATAATTTGAGACTATTATTAGAATCTGTTAGCTATTAAAATTTGTTAGCTATTAAGGACTTTTACGGTAGCAGCTCTGTGAATTATTTAACTTTTTCTTGTAATACTGACAATGCAAATTTTTTTTTGTTTAATTTATTTTCTTTATATTATTCGTAGGGGCTAGTAGGCCATGGTACGAGACATGACTTAAAAGTTCGTCCAAAACTATTCAGACCCCAGGAGAGCAGACTGAGATCAATAAGCATCAACGCAATTGATTTCTTCCCTTTTGGAAAGCCACTGTTCTTGGTATGAAAACATTTTAATATAATACAAGTTTCATTTTTTAAATTACTTGCTGAGGGAGGATTTCTAATTTGATGTATTTAACTAGATGTGATAGTTGATTTATCTCACTAATTCCAATCTGCCATGAAGGGTGACAACAAATCTTGTGTCCTGGTGTCCGAACTTTGCTTATGTAAAAGGTGGACCATCTGGCTCACAGAAACAAATGGCAATCTCGCTTCAGCCTTATAACTTATTCTTTGTTTTTACTGAAATTCAGCATTGCAAGCAGGTCTTCTGCTGCTAATGAAGCCTCATACATCTCTTAGTGACATAATCATTTTGGAGGCAAAATATCTGTATTGCTGTGACTAAAGGTCTGTGGGGCAGCTCCCTGCTTTCCTTTCCTCTCCACATTAGGCACAGCCTTGGGCTATGCCTGGCAGTGTAGCGTGTGGTCAGGTGTGTTCACATCTGCCCTCAGCAGTTCGTATTGACACACCCATTGTTTTTATTTGTCTTCCTTATGAAAGTTTATTCAATGCAAGTTGAATCTAACTTCGGTAGGATTTTCCATCTCCTTATCCTTGCATATATTTGTACTTGATCCTCACCACTGCGCAGTCAGAACTTTCTTTTACCAGTGTGGATGTTCTTACCTTTTTCCCAAATGCATTTATTTAGAGTGATACTGACTTCTACAAGTCTGTGTCTGCAGAGTCCTTTTAAATGTAAGCACAATTTGCAGAATCACTCTAAAAAGTCCTCATAATTTGAAAATTCTGGGAAGTCTTCCTGATCTAGAGGTGGCCCAGTAAGAATAAGTTATTTTCTGGTTTCATAGAATAGTTTCTTTTGTACCTGGATTAGAGCAAACCTGTAAATGATATACTAGGCAAGACAAAGGTTATAAGAAAATATCTGGAAGCAGTGATATCTGCCTGTCTTTGGATTTAATTGTTCATGATGAATCAGTTTAATATCATTTACTATTAAGCACAGCCTGTCCTACTGAAAGCTATTCTTGGTTTTACAGATTACATGTGTCACTAAGTAGCTGTCTGAATTGGTCTCTAGGCTCTGACCTCGCCCCGATTCAGACTACTATCAAGTTGTGCTGGATCATAGTATTAGTGAAGCTGATAGTTTGAGAACTTGTTTTAAAATAGGAAATTAGGACTTCGTCCTAGGATTAGTGGATTAGATTACTCTAGTATGCTCAGTACAGTTACTGCTTTTGAACTCAAAATTACATTAAAAGTTAAAATCTGGATAGTCCATAGAGTGAGGTATGAGAGATGTGCGACTTGAGTCAGATAACTAATTTGATTTATGTGCTTGATATTCTCAAGAATTGAATTGTAGTTTTTATCCTGCTTAGTTTGTTTTGTTCCCAGGAAGTATTTTCTTCTTGACTGTATTACAGGTTGGCTGTTCAGATGGAAGTATTAGATTACACCAAATGACATCAGAGTATCCCCTCATGCAGTGGAATGACAGCACAAACGGCCAGCCAATTACTGCCCTGCAGTGGGCTTTAACAAGACCCGCTGTGTTTTTTGTCCTGGATGCATCATCTAATATTTACATTTGGGATCTTCTGGAAAATGATTTGTTGCCTGTGGCAAAGGAGACTATTCCATCAGAGAAGTAAGTACATTACATTACATTACTCTATTTTTAACAAAATATTAATATTATTTTCATCTTCATTTTGATTACAGTTTGGATGGGGTTTTTTGCTTGACATTAAATGTTCATTAGAATTTGCTTTTCTAACTGTATTTTTTAAACTGTTGGAGGTGTGGAAAGAGACTATAGCGAGCTAAATTTTAGCTTATCCTTATTTACTTATTATTTTCTACAGTCTGATAACGGAGAAATAATGTTAGTATAAATCAAATCAGGTATAGTGTTATCAGTTGGGACAGATGTCTGTACATGGAGCAGTTGCTGTTTATATGAAGAGAAAAATTTTGTTCCCACTAAAATCACTGGACTGCTTAAGTTCAAAGATAGCTTTGCTGGATCAGGATCAACCCCTAAAATATGCAAGATGTTGGACAACATTTTAAAATGCCTATATATATATAGTATGGTTGCCAACATAAAGAAATATATTTTGTTCATTGTCACAAAGTCAACAAGAATATTTTTGGCTAGCACGTATTCACCAAGACTCACAATACTGTTCCTGTAGTCAGTGTAGAGATTTGGGTTATCCCATAGATTGATGCAGAAAAGGAGTTTAATTTAGCCTTTCTGAATTATAGTCTTGAGGATTCTCTTTCCTCCCTGATGGGAGTCCTACTGGGAGACTCTGTCTTCCCTAGGCTTAAGTTAGTCTTGGTGAATATCCTTCTAACTGGAAATTTTCCTTGTAGCCTTGTGAACTATAGCAGTGCTGCTAGTTTTGGGAGAAAATAATATAATTTTTAAAGTTGCTACACTGTACTGGAAAATACCATAAAACCAGTTCATTTTTACAAGCTTGAAATAATTTTTAAGTCAGGATTAAAAATTGATGATGGAATCTGTGAACAGGGGAAGAATTGCCTATTATGTTTACATTAAATGATTACAACTGGTGAAAAGCTAAAGAACATGCTGGGACTTGAAATAGTGAGGAATACCACACTGTAATGAGCAGAAAAAAGGAATCATTTAGTTAACTATAAGTAACCTGCTAAAAACACATTTGAAAATACCTATTTCTATTAATTTTGCCTCAGTTAAAAACACTCTCTGGTTCTTTTGATTTCAGTGTTGTAACTATGTCTCTACTGGGAGAACCAGAAAAAACAAACGGATTGCTAGGCATTGCGCTGGCCAGAGAATCTGGACAGATAGACATTCAATATGTAAAGAAAAAGTGGGCGGTACCTCAGCCTGAGGAATCTGAAAAACTACATTTGCTTTTATTGCAGTCTTTTTAGAACCAGTACACCTGTCTGGGTGTACAAATTATTGCAAAATATTTAGATTATTTTTCACTGCGATTAAAAGATTTATAATATAATTTTGTATTTGTGTATAACTTGTATATATTTTAAAGAATATCAGTACAGTATTTCAGCTGAAACCATATATTTTATCACAAAAATGGCAGAACCAAATTTAGCATTATTGTACTCAAAAAGTTAATGAACTGTATTTCATTATTGAAAGTACTCTAGATGTATATATTTTTAAAAAAATACTAAAAATATATTCCCATAAATTATGCTGTTGTTTCTCATTATTCTGCTCTGAAGTAAAAGATAGCAACCCTTTGTCTGGTGAGCATGAAGTTGTGCCTCTGTATAAGCAACCTGAATGTATGGAGACTTCTACCTCTGGGCCTTTTACACATTAACACTTGGTAAAACTTTCTTATATCCACCTAAAAACATTATGCAGACGTATCAGAATACAAATTTACATCGCATGATATCTTACTTCTGATTTTGACCCTGAAACTTTGCAAAAGGAATACCTGACTAACTTGAGTTGTCCTGATATGTACACTACCTGTTTGGATCAAACTATGTAAACAATATGCTTGTGAGATTTACTGAAATTCTAAATCCTTTGGGATTTCTGATGTAAAACAGAAAATACTGACCTGCTTAATCCTGCAAATCATTCCCAAAGCTCGTGTAGTGAGGAAGAGCATAGTTGTCTATAATATTCTAATTTTGGTACACTATTGGTAAAGTTTGGACCAAGACCAACCACAGAAAATGTCTTTAACTTTTGTAGCCTAACAACTTCTGATTTAAAGATCATGAGGAAAACCATGATTAAATGAGGACAGATTCAGGGAAAAAAAGGACAATTGGAAGACAATGTGTTCAGAATTTAGTGAACGTATATTTAAGATATGTACTATCTCCTTCTAAAGTAGAGTGAAACAACTTATAAATTCTAATTAATTTGTTGCAAACACTTTCCTATGTAAATTGTTACTTAATTTGAGCAAACTCAAAGTGGCCACATGATGGTGCCAAGTCACAGCAGTAAAAAATGAGTGCCTTATATAAACAACATACACCACTTTGGAAATGAATTTGCTGTAGTCCATTGCCTTTCCTCAAAAGCAGTGGCTGCAATCCAGGGAGCCTGATGAACTGTCGGAGGGATGCATATTTCAGAGACCATTTTCACTATCCTAGTTCCCTGGTCAGCCATAGATTTTTTTATGGGCATAAACACAAATGGCTCTTCTCATCTTCATTGTTGGGTTTATACGGTAATAATATACACTACAAGTATATTTGTAATTCTTTAATAATTCAGATAAAGAACAAATGGCAGGTACTTTTTTGCAATAAGGTAGCAGAGCATCACTACTGAGAGCCATAGTAAAAAAACAAACCCAAATCTCTCTCTCTTTCAGAGAGACACACACACCCCACCACTCCTTCCCTCCCCAATTTAAGGTCAAAATTAAGCTTTGAAATTATACTAGTCTTCTGAAGGAAATCTCTTACTTATTATCGTTTCATCACTTTCAGGACTCACCATCCTGAATTTTCTTACTGCAGCCACTTCTGCACTTGGAAACTGTAAACAAAGGGTTGAGTTTTTTCTGCCTTGTGCTGTGTGCACTGGTGGTGGGGTTTTTTCCAATATGCAAAAACAAAAAAATAGTATCAACCTTCACACAGAAGTACCTGTTGCTACTTTTGAGCTGCTGTTGGTAGGTATGCTTGAATTCAAAGATCCAAATATTTTAGGCTAGTTATGCTTGTACTGCCTGGAGAGTTGAGTGAGAGTCACTTCCCACATTGGGCCTGTGTTTCTTGCCTAAAAGATGAGTTTTCTCTCTTGAACTGCAAACTAATGTAATAATATAAATGTTTCCTGTGCTGACAGTTGCTGTTATGAGAATGTGAGGAAAAAACGTGTAGAAGTTGCTGCTCTTTTGCGTGATCTCTCACTGGGTAAATGCAGACCATTAGAGTCACGGTCCATGTAATCTCAGCAGTTGGGCGTATTGATGTAACTATTTTTGAGCATGTTTCTGATCAGAATACTCATGTTTCTGGTCAGTATTGGTAGGCTGCCATACAAGAAAAGTCCCATGCATAAGGACTTACAAAATTGTTTCAAACAAAAAAATATTTAATTTTCCATTAGCTACTTCTAATGATTGTCAAGTTTGTATTGTTAACATAAGATACTGGATTTTGCTCATGTTTCATAAGGAAGCAACAACATGACCCTGTATATGAAAGAAAAAAGAGTTCACTGTTCATTCAAAATTATTTTCATATCCCTATCATTTTTACTGGTAGCTCTGGTATGTGTGCATATGCACACGTATTCTACTGAATGATCTTTATATAGGAGGTATACACTACTATCGTGAAACATTTAAAATAGCCCCAATAATATCTATTTTTTTTAACACCTGTGGGCAAGTTTGGAATCCATATTCTTAACAGAATGAACTGTAGTTAAAATTAACTGACCCATATAATAGAAACTTACCATTTAAATGATATAAAAGTGGAATCACTATCCATCCATATTAATAACTGTTACGAAATATAACCTCTTGCTCTTAAACCAACAAATCCTGGCAGCAAGGCTGAAAAATTTTAAATATGCAAAATGCCAGAAAGTTTTGGATAAACTCCTGCTTTTATTTTCCACTTTATGAACGTGCTTTGAAAGCCTTTTCTATTTAGAACATAAATATTAATAGCGTTTTCATTGGATTTTGTCATCTCACAGATGGGAAAATGAAGTTTTCAGTAGCTGAATAGTAAGTTAACTGAGGAACAGAATTCTTGAATCAGATGGCTGACTTCTTACAACTGTTTAGAAATGCTTTTATTAACCTGTCAGCCTATATTTGCAGGAGAGCTTGGGAGAACAGGAATAGCATGATTCTTCTTTTGTACCAGAACATTTCTTTTTAATTGTACTGAAGGTGACCATCCTAACCAAAGAACTTTGCCTTAATTAATCATAGCTGTCATTTAGTTAAGAGGTGTTGAAGGATACAGGAGCATTGTAGCTTCCATAGCAATGAGGGAATATTCTACTAGCTGGAATATTTTAGCAGAACACAGTTAAATCATAAAAATAGTTATTCTTTTTAAAGACAGATGGTTTTTTTCCTGATGGAGTTAGAAAGTCCATCTAGGTTTGTTCTAGGTGTAGAAATTGGCTGGACTAAAGGAAATACTAAAGTGTCATTGGTTTACACAGACTGTTGGAATAGGCCTATCTGTAAAATTCACTTAGGAAATAACCAGAATTTGGCCATCAGTGGCATGCTTGGTGGCACGCAAACCAGGAAAAGTTATGAGGATATGCGACAGGAAAATAGATAATGAGCCATGTTTTCATTGCTAGCTTAATTTCCATTCAGGCTTATCAGGATTCTATTTATAGACAAATGCTCGTTTGTCCATGTGCTTCTGAGCCTCCTTGGCTGAGAGAAGGAGGATGGCAATTCCATTTACATCTCCCTTTAAAAAAATCAGCTAACTTCTCTTTTACTAGCAGTTCCTGAAGGTTTCAGAAAGTATATCAGTAGAAAATCTCTTACCCTAATTCCTGATGTAGGCCTTCTCATGCATTATTTAAATGGCTATAGGAGGCCCTACATCTTGATGTTACAACATAGGAAGTGGTGATTTAGGTGCTGCTCTGTGAAAACTGAGTAGCAGATGGAATTATTTATCCTTTTCTTTTTTTAATGCTACATGAAATATCCCACTGGAGCTATTTAAGTGTGGATTATATTTCAGACTCAGAGCCTCTTAGCATCAGTACAAGTTTTCCTGCTCACCTCTCACATGCTAATCATTGGCATGAAAGCTAGACAAGAGATGTGGGCTGCCCAGTCCTGGAAGCTGGACATTATTCAGGCTGTTCTGAAATTGAATAAATAGGATACCTGCTTGCTGCTGTGGCGGGATACTGAAGATATCCTCCACCAAGCCTTCCAGTTACCAACTGTGTCCTCTTTACGAAGGGAAAGAAAAATACATTGTCAGTGTCTGATGCTTCAGCAGTTGCAGTGTAGTTCACAGCATTTGCCATTCTTTAAGCTGTTAAAACCAAAGCAAAGTTCACTTGACATAGTAATGGTTACATCCCACAGGATTTTACAGGTGGAAATAGAGTGACAACAAACCAAGCCAAGCAAAAGACAATCATATCAATTACTGAAATTATACTTCTGATTTATGTTTTGCAAAATCTTAGCATGAAGGGGGAAGTGTTTACATATACTCTTAGTGGTAAAAATAATAATTTTTATTTAGATCAGCCATGCCCGACATTAGCTATTTTTACAGAAGTCAGCAAATGCAATTATGCAAATAGCTGTTGACTATGGCTGGGAGGAAGGAGATGCTTCCTTCCCTTCTTACAGTATTTTCCACAGCCTACTGTGATTCACTTAGCCTTTCCTTTTTATATTCTGCAGCCACTGGTACCAAGCCCACTATACGGGGGATGAAAAGATGCCCCTTAATCAGATCACCCAAATGATCATCTTGAATGGTTTAAAGTGTTTTGATAGCTCGCACTGGAAGCTGGAGATTTTTACCTCCACAGCAGATGCTGCATTGGCAGTAGCAATGCAGACTTCTTTTGTGTCTGACAGTTCCTTTTTATATTCTGCAGCCACTGGTACCAAGCCCACTATACGGGGGATGAAAAGATGCCCCTTAATCAGATCACCCAAATGATCATCTTGAATGGTTTAAAGTGTTTTGATAGCTCGCACTGGAAGCTGGAGATTTTTACCTCCACAGCAGATGCTGCATTGGCAGTAGCAATGCAGACTTCTTTTGTGTCTGACAGTGTGCAACAGTGAACCAGTCCATAACGAAATCATTTCTTTATACCTCATGAAGCCAACTGAAATCAATGGAAATGTTTCCATGTATATCTTATGTTTCTCCTGTACAGGCTGTGAAAAGTAACAGAAAGTAAATTTCTTGCTGCAGGTCTTTATTTTTCCTGCATTTATATAGATGTATTTATCGGCACTGATCAGCCCCCTGCTGCCCGCCCAGCCCCCAACACACACTCTTTTCTCTCCATTTGCTTTGAGAAACTATATTGTTTTTTCTTGGATG